ATATATATTGATAAGCATTTAGTAGTTCATCTGTAAACTATGTAACGCCTCATGTGATAAAAAAATGGAATATTGTACTATAATTGATCCCCCTGTATGAATTATATCCTTTTCTGTACGAAGCTCCCGATAAATAATAAATACATCGTCACATCTTTGTAGCCCATAATATCATTTAAAATTGAGGAGCTGGTCCGTCAGTATGGTAGGCAGACTTAGGGTGGAGGATTGCAACGATGACACGCCACTCTTCCGTTCCAAAATGACGCATTTAGAGGTATGCAAGAAGCAAATGCTACTGACGTGTTCTTGATTGTCAGCAATAGTCAGAAATGCAATGTGTGATTTAGTGTACCTTACACGGTTGTTTTCACACATTTCTTATGTTCCATATATATATATATAATTATTGACATTGTGCATGGTACTTATTCAAATGTATCTGTTCATAATTATAAATGCAATGAATGTCAGCTGATAGATAATATCTACGTAAATATTAGCTCTCATTCGTTCTGGGCTGTTACATTCTTCGGTTCGTTTTCAATTTAACATATAGATTTACATACTCGAATTTCTGAACTCTATGCACAACAAACGGACTGATCACGTGTTTAATAGCCCTATCTCAATTCAACCGCGCCAACGCTACTTATTTTTATGCACCATTCAATCAGAATGCTACGAATTCTCTTGAAGAGCGTCTCAAAGCCATGGCCGAACTATCACGCCAGCGCTTCGAGATTGAACGGGGTATGACCTCGATACTCATCGTGTCCTCCTGTGTGTCTGTGCCCATTTCAAATATGTGTACGCACGACTAAAAGGCTATTCACAGTATCGTCGGTTGGTTATTTTTATACGGCTTTTGATCCGTCCAAGCCCAACGACGCTACTTTCTAGTGAAACTATGCAAAGGGTGCGCCTGGTAGCAGCCCGCCTATTTGGAAGCGACCGTTGTACACAAACCAATACCGCACGTGTTTTAAATGTACAGTATATCGTTTAATATGTGTGCCTTGTACACTCCATCTGCTACACTACGGGTTCGAAGCCTGCTAAAGCCATAGCTGCATACGGAGAGAATGCCGCTGACTCTATCGCATACACTAGTTCTTGGGATATTCACCCTACTTAGTTTTCGATACTCGTCCCTGGCTAATGCTGGCACATACTACTTTCTCCATCTCTACCTACACAGTGCAAATCAAGATAGCCGAGTCAATTGCTGACGAGGTTCTTGTCTTTGCGCAGAAAGAGCTCGATGACGACGACCACACCATACGTACGTTGTCCAGATAGATGTTTTTTCGTGTTGGTGTAGGTATTCCGGTACACGCGCGTTTGTATGCGAGTGTTTTATATAGAAACGTATATTTGTTTACACGTGTATGCAAGCTTTTGCTGGACGGTTGAGAAAATGAACAGACGTGAGTGTACCAGTTTAGACTTCCTGCTAACGAGATACAATACGCACAGTGCCTGCCTACCCTCTGCCGTGTCATCGCTTAACCTTAGGCATGTCACACCTCTCTGTACGCAGTTGTTTGTCTATGTCGTTGTATTCCTAATATGCCCAAGTCTCTGCAGAGTGGGTGTACACAGTAACGTACCGATACCAATTAGGAATATGTTCCTTCGTTGCCTAGCTGGTATAATCCCATAGCTCATTGATCTGTACTAATATCACGTTGACCAATACACCATGCATCACACTGTAGAACAATCACTCGTCAAGTTTGCTGCCGCCCTCAAGAGCGTTGAGGTCCAGCGTGAAATGATGGTGTGTTTTGACGTACATGCATGGCTTTGATAAAACCTTACAAACCTAATGCTTGATACTATTGGAGTTTATCGAGGGAACCGTAGACCGTATTTTGTTGGTTTTGTAATGTTTATTTTATATTTATATTTATATTTATATTTATATATATATATTTATATATATATATATATATATATATATATATATATATATATGTGTGTGTGTGTGTGTGTGTGTGTAGTATATATATAGTAGTA